GGCATGTTATGCCTCGGGAGTGAGAACGGGCTCGCTGCAGAGGCTTCCACTTGGACAAATCTCAAAAATCTTCTTATTTAGAAAAACTGCCACAACTTTCAAAGCACATTAAGGTCTGCCAATTAACCCAGCAGTCATAGCAAACCTGGATGCAAACCATCCTGGCTTACAGTGCATATTTACTGAGTATGTCAATCCAGTCTTTGGAAGTTTCTAGACTTTCGTTCCCTTTGGTCTTTAACTAAAACTCTCTTTCTCTGTTGTGGTTCAGTGGGTCGGACAAGGAGCGACGGTGAGTGGAAGCCAAGGAGGATCCACCAATTCCCTGAAGACACCACCGTCACCATAACCACACACACACACACACACCAGTATACTCACACCAACACACACAGACACACACAGATATAGAGCCTCAGGGTGGTAGAACAACAGGCCAACAGACAGTCCTACTTAATGTTAAAACATACAGTACAAAGTGTGGCTAAGAAGTGGCTGCAGCAGTGGGCTAACATCAGCTATAAGCCAATACTCAAACTGTGTGTCATTAGATTGAACTAGGTGTTAGTGTGCTAAGGCTGGAGCAAAGTCTGATTCCCACTTCCTCTTGTGTCTTCACAACCAAATAAACACTTAACTACATTCCAACTAAACTAGTACAGTGCTTATTGAGCTGTTACTGACAGTATTAACAGATTATCTAACAGATTAAGCTTATGCCTCTTTTTCGTTTATAGGAAAATTGCAGTTTGTGGACCAAAATATTCTATTTTTAGGTGAATATGCACAGCTGTGACGGTTGATTTGTGCAAGTGATCAGCTATCGTAGGCAACATATTTGCTCAATAGTAGGATTTAGAAAGGCGAGTTGCAGAATTAGAAAGCATCACTGTTCAGATCAACACATTTCAGCTCTTTTAAAAGTTTTATTTGTTGTGTTGAAGATTCATTCTCATCATGCGTTTGGTTATATCGTGTGTGTTGCCGTTATCAGCGGCAGCCGGAGCAGACACGAACAGAGGAGATTCAAATGGCAAACCTTAGTTTTACTTCACTGGGCGAAGACGATTTCCTGTTAAGAAGTAAAACTGAAGAGGATTTGATTTGATCCAAGAATTTGTAAAATGTCAGAATGAACATTTTTAGTGCATGTTAAATTGGCATCCTTTTTTTTAACAGGGTGTGGTCATAATAAAGGAAACATAAGTTGTCATCAGTGGAAAAAGGGCAGTCCACTCATCTCATCTAAGGCAAATGAATTATGATTGTTTTTAGACATGATCCTGATAACCAGACATAAGTGTCATCATTACTTACTAATGTTATTTGGCTTTACAAGAATTTACAATTACAATTTCAGCACAAACATTAATAACATGAAATAAAAGTTTTACATTAAACTGTACGACTTATGGTTGACACTGTACTGTACTTGGTGTCTCGTCTGTCATGGCTACTTTTGGAAAATGTTTTACACTTTTGCAGATAAATGCTGACTGAAGGTTTTGACTGTTTTTAAAGCTGTTGCGCTGGAAACAGCTGCGCGCTTCTGCTGGAAACAAGACTGATGAGCCATGAAAACAAAACATAAACAGGAATCTGTGGACTGTAAGATCTAAAGAAGTTCCACGGAGCAAAAGGGGGTTGTAAACTTCAGTTGTTATTTTCAGTAGCTAAGGCAGGGGTCCCCAACTCCAGACCTTGAGGGCCGGCGTCCTGCAAGGTGAATGGAAAGGGTCTTTTACAGGAGGCATTACTGCCAACATGGGCTCAGTTTGCTTCAACATGCTGAATTTAGGCGATCTAAATACTCTGAATAAACAGCTGGCTTGTTGTAGTTTGTCTGATTATGTGACTGCTCGTGTTTTTCTGTCCCCTGTAGTGATGTCACCATGTTCCCAGATGCTACAAAAAAATATAACCCATGTTGTAACAAATCAGTTATCCTTAGGGACTACACAATGACTGCAGATGTTATTGTGCAACCCCTTTGGGACTCCTTTGTGCCTTTTTAATGTGCTTTGCCATTTTGATATTCAGTGTTCCAATTTAGAGAGGTGCTTAGAAGACCATAAAGGTGGTAACTCTTAATAATTTGCGAGAAGTGAGGAGCTTTTGCGATTAAAGGGGTCCTATAAATTTTTTTGTTTGTTTTCTGTTATATACAGAATATACAATAAGAGATGTTTATAATAAAGATGGCCAACATTTAAAATAGTAATCCCTGTGTGCCAAAAGATGTATCTGTTCTTAGATCTGTATGATGTCAGACAGAGGGGATCTCCATAATGTGGTCATTTTAGCACACAGCTCTGACAGTTCAAGTGATTCCTTATGAGGGGCAGCCAATCAGAAGAAATCTGGCTGAAAGGGAGGAGCTAAAAAGGTTTGTTTCAGACAATGCATGAATTGAGATGGTTTTAAAACTTTGATTCATGCAAAGCTACTTTAGTAAAGTCTGATAAAATAAAACAAAGCTGGCAATGAGCATTACAGGTCCCATTTAAGTTAATTGAATGATTCCACAGTGAAGCTGCCCTGTCCCACTGTTATGACACTCAATGTTGCTTTTCTTTAACTGGAACCATACTCTGTGGTAGTAATTTAATAAGCCAGTGTTTGTTTGTTTTCTAACTAAAATCTGTTTAAATTCAGATTAATACCAGTATTGTTTATGGCTCGGTATTGGACACTGTCACGGATAACAGTTTCTTCTGTGTTTGTAGGTACCATGCATGCGTCCTTTTTTTCATGAGTCATTTTTAATAAATATCTTTTTTGTTGTGAGATACTAATCATATTGTAAACACGAGATGTATTATGAACCTAAGGCAGAGTGTGTACATTGTCCATTCAGATGTTATTAATAAATATTTCTATATATAGCATGGATTGATTTATGGGTAGTGTGAGATGGAGCGAGAAGATGCTTCAGAGAGAGAATGAATGAGACAGATATAGAGACGTGTATCCCCCTCAGGCCTTCTGCTAACACCTGTGTTGTGAGCTCTCCCAACAGAGTGCTGTGATTGAAAGACCCATGAAAACCTTGTGACAGACACACTTTCTCTTACACACACCCTCAGTGATGCATTTGCTGCGCTAGGACCTCGCGCTCACTCAAAAGTCGACATCTAAAATATCAACATGTCTGGGTCTGGTGTTCCTCCTCTGAACATTTTTCCAATTAGCAAGAATTTGGACACATTAAACGATTGCATATCAAGGCTCCGATTTATTATTTTTTTAAAAAGACAAACAGCAAAGTGAACATTTCCATATAATTTCAGATTTGCTAGACCAAACAATGATTAAACAGGCCCCCATGAGCACTGGAGCCATGTTTTTAATCTTACAAAGTCAAATATTCCAATTTTCATCAGCTAATCGCTTTTTTCTTTATTTCTTTTTTTTGCCCGGATAGCTCACAATGCTTTTAATCACTACGCTGTTTCATTTAGGATAGTGAATTAATTTATTTTTCAAAACAAGCTCTGGTAAAACCGCTATGCGCGTAGGACACGTTGTGCCGACATCTGTTCACAGTGATTAGTTGTTCTTTAAAAAAAATATAAATGCCTTTAAATCCCTATTGTACGGAGCCCCGCAGGGGACATGGGAGAAAAAAAATAATTAAGA